TTGGAGGAACGGACAGGGGAGGGGGCGGATACAGCTGGCTCTGCCTCTAGAAAGGCAGAGCCAGCTGTCATTCACACAGCTGGGTGGATCTCAACATCATTGTCGGGATCCGTCCCAGCTGCGGCGGTCTCAGTATACCGTGAGCTGTAGCTCGCGATATACTGAGTTTTGGGTCACGGGAGGACGCTAGCATATGTCCTCCCATGACCCTGAAGAGAACTATGGAGAAAAACACTTACCCCATAGTTCTCTTTTAAGTCTTTTTCATAGAGATGCTCGGGTGATAATTCGTGTGGGTTTAATGGTCACTGCTTAACGCATTAACATAACCAGTGAACAAAATGGCAGGGTGAGCATGAGAAAAATGATACTATGCTACTACTATTAATTCAAGAAGCAAGAACAATGCAAGTACCATGAAAGCTTCTTTGCTGCTCTATAGAGAAAAAGGAATGGTGGAAAATATCTGGAAAAAGTGACAAACAGCATTTTTAACGCTCGTAAACTAATGAGCACCCCCACCCAGTGAAATTGACTATATCATGCAATGTATAAAGATCGTAACTAGCATCAGAAGCTACCAGAGTGGTCCTTACAATCTGTTGCATCTTCCAAAATCACATACTCTATGGAGAACGAGTTCAGATTTTGAGCCCATGCTGTATAGCCCAGGGGCAGGCAAACTCCGGCCCTCCAGCTGTGATGATATTACAAATCCCATCATGCATCTGCCTGTGGCAGTCATGCCTATTGCTGTCAGAGCCTTGCAATGCCTAATGAAAGTTGTAGTTGCACCACAGCTTGAGGGCCAGAGTTTGCCTTGCCCTGGTGTAGACTGACTTTGTAAAAGTACCAACAAATAAAAAGTACACAATTTTAAAATCCTAATGACTAGTTGTGTAAAAGCTGTAGGAACTGACCATATATTTATGAAGAACGTGGTATTGGGATGCTAGGAATAATATTTTCCCCACAAAGCTAACTAACCATTTAGCAATCCCACAAAACACAGTTGCCAACGGTTTAGTCTCCCCTAGTCTGAAATGGAAGCTAACAAAGAACAGTCACACACAGTGGCAAATGTCTTATTTCCTGGAGCACTGATAAATTAAAAAACCTCTAGATATCTTCCTTGATGAGCACAGCATACACGGTTAAACCTTAAAAATGCATTCAAGTATCCCAACTACAGTATACTCCCCATTATCCAGCATTAAAGTAACCAACACTCTCAAGCAACCCGCAAAAAAAAATATGTCCTCGATTTTATTTTTTTTTGCCAGTGGCTTGAGGCACACTAAAAACTTTCTTGTTTACATCTTGCTGCCAGCGGGCAGCTAGATTCCACAGTCAGCAGCAGAATGTCAACAGTGGGGAGCAAAAGCCAGCCTGCTATTGGCTTTTTGAAATTGCAATAGCAGGCTGGCTATTGCACCTGAAAGCAAAAAAGAAAGAAAAAGGAGCGCCACAAACCAGCACAATAAGGCAGATTGTAGTAAATTGGAGTAAATTAGGATCATACGGTGTTTGCACTCACATGCAGGGCTGTAGCTACCATGGGGCGAGTGAGGCACTCGCCTCAGGCGCAGCTGAGAGGGGGCGTAGCCAGGGCCGGCCTGGCTGCGTCCCATTGCCCATGTTGCCAAGGCGAGCACAGGGCGCCATTGGCAACAGGGGTCTGTTTAGACCCGATATTTCCCCGAAGCCCCCCAACAGTAAAACAAATAATATTAAAAAATAAATAAAAAAATAAAAAAACAACACCACACACACACACATTATTAGACATGTGCAAAGACAAAAAAATAGTGTCGGACTAAATGAATGGAAACGAAAAATGTTTTCATTAGTTTCGTCAAACGAAACAAATTTTTATGCTATTTTGGATTTGGCCACCAGCTCATTCTGCACATGCGTGCCGCCATCTCGGAGGTGAGGCACATGGCGTCACATCACCCGATGCGTGCGCGGCGTCGGGTGGCATAACACGTCTGTTGGGGGGCACAATTTTCTGTTCTTGCCTCGGGCGCAAAAGGAGCTAGCTAGGGCTCTGCTCACATGTGAGGAGATTGATACTAGCAAAGCGATGCTAATCCCTGTATGTTGGCATGGGGTCTTGGAGGTACAGCTGGGGGGAAACCAATGGACAGAAGGGCTGCGTTGGTCCTCGAAGGGGGTGATGTTTGATGACCGAAGTGGAGATGGTAATGACAAAAAAATGGTGAGAATTCTTCAATGAATATAGAAGGAATGAGAATTCTTTACTCACCATCAGGCTGGGTGTAGTGCGGTTTCAGAAGAGAACCCACTCACCATTGGGTATCCCCGGATGTATGTTCTCTCTACACATCCATCCCACATGACATAGGCCTCCAAGCCACACAGTAACATCTATCACAAGCACCAGCTCCCAACCACAAGCAAGCCCAATTCATTGTGAATTGCACCTGCTACATGCTAGAACACAGCTACTTCTCCTTCCTCTTTAAATTTCATCGGCAGATCCAAGGCACTGCCATGGGAGCCAATTATGCCCCCAGCTACGCCAACCTCACTATGGGCCATTGGCAACAATTCCATAACTGGCAGAACATCTGATATATTACAGGATATACAAAGACGATATACTCTTCATATGGAACCCCCTTCAAGGACCAACACAACTCTGTCCATTGGATGTCCACCAGCCGTACCTCCAAGACCCCAAGCCAACACACAAGGATTAACATCGCTGAGCCAGTATCAATCTCCTCACATGTGAGTGCAAACACCATATGTTCCTAATTTACTCCAATCCCAATCCGCCTTATTATGCTAGGTTGGGGAGCCCCCTTTCTTTCTTTTTTGTTTCCTAGCACACATATTAGACACCTCGGTCTAATACCGGCAGGAGCTGCACACCAGCCTCAACACACGACCCTCACTAGGAGTGCGCTATTCACATTGGACTTTTGTTTTTTGGAACTCGCTGTTTCACCGGCTACTGAGTAGAGGAGAGGAACCGAGAGAGAACTTTCTCCTCCTTTGTCCTCTGCTCGGTGGACGGGGCTTTAATAGCCGGCGTCGGATGTCGGACAACAGTTATCCGACACCTACCGATCCCGGTGGGTATCGGAGAACAGAGTTTACTGTATTAACAAAAATGTATCTTATTTGTGTATCACTCGGCTGTAGATCCTCAAATCATCTCTGAATTGGTGCTGACACTGTCCTTCCTTCTGGAGGGTGGCTACTTTTGTTCCCTATGGTCCCTGTTTGTGTTGTAAAAATAGCCACCGCTCCAAGCTTTTTCCTATGATGGACTACAATCTCAATACAAAATTAGTAAACTATTTTAGTCCATAATGAAAGCAAGCTTGGAGTGGTGGCTACTTTGCAACACACATAGGGACCATGAAGTACAAAAGTAGCCACCCTCCAGAACGATATGCTGGAGATATTTGGTTTTCATAATAGACTGTTTTTTGCCTTTTTGTTTGGTGTAAGAAAAACAGTTTGGATGTTAATGGATGGGCCTATGATAAATCTTGTGGAGGATGATAATCAGGCATTTTCTGTAGTTTGTGCATTGCTATTGCTTTCAAAGTCCTTGTATTTGTATTCTTACAAAACTTTGCATTATAATGATTTTATGTATGTTTTGTTTTGCAGGGTTAACAATTAAAATTAAATGTAAAGGGCAACAATTTTACCGTTTTCAGCCAGCAGAAGTGTACATGTCCTCCCTGTGTCTGGGTGTATATAGGTAATGGGATTCTAAAAGCCACAAAGACAAGAATGCTTGTCCACATCAAAACAGTATAGGGAAGTGGACTAGAACAGTAGTAATAGTTAACATAGCAGGATCCTTACAGCAACAGCTTCATATTATGTAATAAAGAGAAAGAAGAACTTGCAGTGTTACCCAAAATGACCTGATTAGATTTCCCTTATTTGCCAATGACGAGTCTCTCAACAGCTACCTAATGCAAAAAAGGAGGGAGTAATCCTAGACAGCAACTGTATTAGACACATCAATACCGAGCAATAAATATAGTTCAATATCTTGCTACGTGTTCTAAACAAACACTGTTAATCACGAGAGAAGTTGAAACACAAGCAATATAAACTCATTTTCCATGTTTACCATAAAACACAGGGTTACCCATAAGTACATATGTACAACAACCTCTTCCTTATTAACAGAACGGAAGCATAGCTCTGTATTCATACGTGTGCAAGACAACGTTGTCAGGACATAGTTCAGAAAGTGATGGACGGGTATTAAAATAAACATGCTTTTTTTGTGCAAATAGAAACTTATATTCTAGAGCTACTCTTCAAATGCCCATGGAGTACTGCTGTTTTTTTAGTTTCACCTTTTAAGTTGCATTAGTGAAATAAATGAACTTTGCACGATATTCTAATTATTCGAGTTTCACCTGTGTGTGTGTGTGTGTGTATATACATATATATACATATATACATATACACATATACACACATACATACATACACACACAACCAAGCAAATAGCATACATTAATTTATAATATCAGGCAACTGTACCAGTGAGAAACATTGAAACACATTTCCTTTAATCAGCAAACTTGGACACAAGTAACATACAATCCATCTGTCTTAGTTAACACGGTCATGCCATTGGAAGGACAGCATATTTAAAGAATGACAACTTGTATCTTTGCCAAAATGTGCCCCTTGTAAGCAGAACATGCAGACTTGACTTCTTTTTCAACATACACATTTGCTTGAAACAACCCAAACTCTTACCTGGAAACAACAGGTTTACTTGATATGGGTAAGAAATAGAGCATTACCCGAGTGGTGCAACATGACTCCAGGGTGACACCACAAATGAAGATCTTAAATACAGGGAGGCAGCACTGGGCTGCTACTAAGTATAGCTGAGAGGCATCCCACATCCAATGGTTTGCTGGCTTCTGCAAAGACGTTGACAGACACGCGGTCAAGTAGAAGAAGCTGGGAAGCAATGTATTTACCTTCTGTGTCAGCCAGTCGCAGGTCCCCCAACATACAGCTGTGAAAGTGGACACTGTACAGGTGACTTCCTATCTAGTTCAGGCAGCTGCTTCTTGTGAACAGCTGCTGGAAATGCAGGACATTCCTGTACAGCAGCTCCTTCCCTCTGAATGAGCACATGCCATTACAGTCTTCCAATCCTTCACACTCCCTGGCTGTTCATTAACTGTGAAGTGTGGCATGTTAGACACAGGCAGTGATTAAGTCCTTTTACGTGCAGAGCAGAGCCTGACATTTCAGCAGCGTACACCTTCCTGTCCTTAAGATCACCAAGAACACTTCTCAATGTCACTTGGCTGCTGTAAACTCCAGACAACTGCAGATCTGTTCAATGTCAGCCTATCATATCAAACCAGAATTCATCAGATCTGCATATCACAACTGAACGGATAGTGGGTTAGTTTAAAGTGATATCAAAATGAAAAGGTTTTTACGCTATTTTAACTGCTAATTTAATTACCGACAATGTATACTGCTCCTTCATAGTTATAAGTTTTAGTTTCCTGCAGAATCAGCTGGTCCCCTGAGCACTGGTCCTGATATCCTGTTTTAGGGTGGCTTCTTTCCCCTTGTAGGGTCCAATGGAGCCAGTGGCATAACAACCGGGGGGGCAGGGGAGGCGCTAGCCCCAGGCGCAGGACTGAGGGGGGGCGCCATCACGGACCCCCGCTAAACGAAGCTCCTGGCCGCAGATGCAGTGGCTCCCTCTCTTAACAGCGTGGGAGACGGGAGGCCGCACTTGTTGGTGGATCCACTGGGTGGATACTTTCAGGTGGAATACAGCTTCATAACATATCAGCTAGGGAACTACAAGTCCCAGCATGCCCTCATTGCCCCTGTACAACAAACAGATATTGCCGTTCCCTAGGTGATATGTGTGAGTGTGGGGGGGTGTACAGGGACAATGATGGCATGCTTGGACTTGTAGTTCCTTAGCTGATAAATATGTGGGGGGTACAGTTCCAGTGGATGTTTATATAATAGGGGGGGGGGGGGGGGCGGAAAAA